TCGTATCGGTCTTTCATGCGATCGCTGGCGATTTTCAGATTAGAACGAACCAATTCGTGAATATCGTTCATCTTTTTCATCAAATCCGTGACGTAATCTTCCCCCACTATGTCCTCACCAGGTCTACATCCGAAGACCAAGTCACATGGAAGCCTCATCTCTCGTCCAAATAGAACCTTCGCCGGAGTCTGTCCTGTAGATTCCTGTACTGCAGATCTGTAGGCCATCAAGAAGAAAGGAATATGTTGATCCCAGTCGTGTTGGTGTTGATCTACGACTTTGCAGAGATACCTCCCTATTGTTCGATTCATTCGCTCCACCATGCCATCTGACTGTGGATGCAACGGAGTTGTTCTTGTTTTCTTGATTCCTAACTTTTCGCTCATCTTCTTGAACACTTCACTCTCGAAGTTCCGGCCCTGATCAGAGTGAAGTTCCAATGGCACCCCAAAACGACTGATGAGTTGATTCATTAGGACATCAGCGACAGTTACGGCTTCCTGGTTAGGGATCGCATACGCTTCCACCCACTTGGTGAAGTAGTCCATGCACACAAGGATGTATTTATTTCCATTATCAGTCACTGGAAACGGCCCCGCAATATCCATGGCAATCCTCTCGAAAGGGCTTCCAACATTGTACTGTCTCATGGGTGCCCTTGGTTTACGATGAGGCCCATTGCTGGCAAAGCACACGGTGCATTTACGGCACCACTCCCTGACGTCGTCACTGCAGTTCACCCAGTAGAACCGCTCTCGTACCCGCTGCAGTGTCTTCCTCACTCCTAGATGTCCCCCTGAAGTTCCATCATGTACATATCCAAGTACTTCCGACACTCGGCTCCTAGGAATGACCAACTGCATCCGATTATCCGACCCATCATTCCTCTTGAGCAGGTCATCTTCTAATACCAAGGAGTCCCACTGACTCCAGTACGCCTTCAAAGTCTGTGAAGATGGTGCTACTTCTTGCCAAGAAGGACGACGATTCGCTTTCTTCCATTCTCGAAGCTTGCGAAGTTCTGGGTCCTTTTCTTGCTCTTGCTTGATTGCTGCAGGTAACCAATCTTCATTGACAACGGTGGTTCTGTAGAGGGCTGCTTCCTTATCCTCCAAACGACTACAATGTGAGCACTCAGGTGGACATGGCCTTCTGGACAATGCATCTGCATTCCTATGGCTCGTCCCCACTCGGTGTGTTATCTCGAAGTCATATTCCTGGAGCCTCTCGATCCAACGAGTTACTTGGCCTTCGGGGTTCTTGAAATTCAGGAGCCACTTCAATGCAGCGTGGTCCGTCCTGAGAAGGAATTTTCGCCCATAGAGGTACTTATAGAAATGCTCCACTGATTTCACCATGGCCAATAGTTCCCTCCTGGTAACGCAGTAGTTCCGTTCTGCCTTCGATAGCACCTTGCTGAAGTAACCGATGACTCGCTCTTGTCCATCTTGATACTGCGAAAGGACTCCACCAATGCCGATATTACTGGCATCTGTGTCAAGAATGAATTGTCCTTGTGGAAGTGGATACCCAAGAATCGGTGTCGTTGTCAAGCGTTCCTTCAGAGCATCAAAGGCGGCCTGGCATTCTGGATCCCAGTGGAAGGGGCGTGCTTCCTCGGTGAGACGAGTCAGAGGCTTTGCGATATCCGAAAACATTCGAACGTAACGTCGATAATAAGTGCACAGTCCAAGAAAGCTCCTGAGTTGATGCTTATCTGTTGGTACTGGCCATTGCTTCACTGCTCGTACTTTCTCAGGGTCGACTTCCACACCCTGTCTTCCTACGACGTGTCCCAAGTAGTTAACCCGTTTCTGCAGCAGATGACATTTCTTCAGATTGAGTGTGAGGTTTGCAGCCTGAAGTCTCTTGAAAACTTCCTCTAGGTTAATCAGATGTTCTTCAAAAGTTTTACCGATCACGATGATGTCATCCAAATAAACTAGGCATTTCTTCCAGGAGAGTCCCCTTAACACATTCTCCATGATTCGTTCGAAGGTGGCCGGAGCATTGCAGAGTCCGAAAGGCATAACCTTGAATTGCCATAACCCAGTGCCAATGGTGAAAGCTGTCTTTTCCTTATCTGCCGGATCCATTTCCACCTGCCAATATCCACTTTTCAGGTCTAGAGTGGAGAAAAGATTCGATTCTGCCAACGTGTCGAGTGTGTCATCAATCCGAGGCAAAGGATAGCTGTCCTTCTTCGTCACGTTGTTCAATCGGCGATAGTCCACACAGAAACGAGTGTTTCCATCTTTCTTCTTTACTAGTACCACTGGTGAAGCCCAAGGACTATTGGATGGCTCGATTACCATGTCTTGTTCCATTTCCTGGATGATCTTTTCTGCAATTCCTCTCTTGGCCTGTGGTAATCTTCGGGCTGGTTGACGAATCGGTCTGGTATCTCCCGTATCGATTTTGTGACTGACGATGTTGGTTCTACCTGTTTTTCCATCAGCAGGAATGAAAATGGATCTATACCTCTGTAGTAACTCGGTTAACTTTTTCTTCTGTCGGTTGTTGAGTGAGTCGCTTGCAGCAGAGACGAGTTCTTCATACTTGCCGGCCCCATCATTGGTTGCTGTCACCTGGTGGATTATGGAGGCTGCTGGGACACAGGTTCCAATCTTGGTTCCTTTGCCAATCGTCACAGGGTAGTTATTTATGTTGATAAATCGAACAGGTACATGGTCGTCTGCCGACAGTAAAGCCTTGCCGACTAAAATTCCACGTCCGACTTCCTCGTCATGGTTCCAGGGTTCCATGATGATGGGACTGCCTCGCTCCAATGTACCTTCAATCCGTGCTGCGACAATGGTCTCACTCCTTTTCGGTAACAGGACGTCCTCTTCTAACGTTACCCCTGCCGCTACCTCCACCCGTGGATGTAAGAAGATCTCTTCGGCACCCACCTTGAGTGTTCGGCTTCTAAAGTCCAGTTGAATTCCTTGCGCACCCATGATGTCCATTCCCAGAATAACATCTTCTTCAATATCTGCCATGATAGCTCGATGTGGAAATTTGACGGTCCCGATCGATATATCCACATCGATTTCCCCATAAACGGTGGCAGCTTCACCCGTAGCAGTTCTCAGACGCCATCTTGATTTCACAAGTTGTTTTCTGGAAGACGGCAGAAGTCCACGTCGCAGGATCGTCTTTGATGCACCAGTATCCACCAACAATGCGCATTTCTTTCCGTCGATCTGTCCATCTACGTAGACGCTGCTGTTATCACGCCGTAGGGATGCCACAAAAATGAGAGGATCTTGAGAATGACGGGTCGAAGCTGGTTTCTTGTGATCGGCCCGCTTCAGTTTCCCTGCAGTCGTTTGAACTGGTCTCTTTTTCTCATTTAAGAGGCACTTGATGGCGTTTATCAAGGCTTCATTAGGATCTTGCCTGGTATTTTCCGCTATGTTTCCGCAGTCGTTCATTTCTCGGACTCTCGCTGATCCTCGGGAAGCTTCTGCTGCGGCCTCGATCTCAAGCGCAGCTGCCAGAGCACTGGTGAGGTCTTTTGGTCGAGTGAGGCGAACTGCTTTCTGCATTTCGATATCCCGCAATCCATCTACGAACGTTTGGGCAGCTAGACATTCCATAAGGGATTCTGGGGCTGACGGGTAGGCACAGTGGACCAATCGGGCTACATCAACTTCGAATTCTTGAAGACTTTCGTTGGCTCTCTGTCGGCGGCTCTTCATTTGTGATTGAAACACTTGTTGCAGGTGTTCATGGCCATATCGCATGTCGAGACGTTTGACGAGATGTTCGTAGCTATCGACTTCACCTTCCGGAATGGCTTGCAAGATGTTCAATGCATCACCCCGTAGAGCTACTGTTAGAGCCACAACCTTGTCCTTGGATGTCCACCCATTGGCTTTGGAAGCGGCTTCGAACTGCTTCAGATAGTTCGGCCACGATGTTTTTCCATCAAATGTAGGTGGTTTCACTCGATTGGTAGTAGTCACTGCATCCGGCCCCACTGTGGTTTCAATCATGGGTCGTTGACCATTTCCAGACTTCTCCAGCAAAGATCTTCTTTCTATTTCGAGCTGCAGCTTCTCCATTTCTTCTATCTGAGTGGTAAATTGGGTTGAAACCTGAGCAATGATCTTATCCCACTTCTGACACCAATTGTTACGTTATTCGGGTGCAGAAGCGAACACGACACTATTTATTTTTGAACTTATTTATTTAAACTAAAGAAACACTAATTTATATCGAACTTATAACTACTATTTATGTAAAACGATTTATAACACGCGGTATATAACTGTCTCTCTGACACTTGCTGTTTGACTCCATTGCAACGGTCTGTTCACTTCACACTGGAATATCCCACACTTCTGACACCAATTGTTACGTTATTCGGGTGCAGAAGCGAACACGACACTATTTATTTTCGAACTGATTCATTCAAACTAAAGAAACACTAATTTATATCGAACTTATAACTACTATTTATGTAAAACGATTTATAACACGCGGTATATAACTGTCTCTCGTCTCTCTGACACTCGCTGTTTGACTCCCCGACAGCAGTTGTTCGGCGGTCTTATATATGAGAACACATGACAGGCTTTGGTCGAGAACGTTCTCGAATGATTTTCCGTCTCCTTCTTTTTGTTCTAGAAGCTTCTTAGAACAAAACCTCTCTCTCTAATTGTTCCATCGATTGTTTCCAGAACATTCCAGAATCTTCTGTGACGTTATTTGTCACTGCGGCATATATTGAGTGTTCGGAAATATGCTGGTGTATGTAGGAATCATTGAGAGGTTGGAGAGCAATCGGGGATGCGTGATACAGGATGATCGTTGTACTCCTGCCTTCCTGCTGATGTTTCTAGAGCCCCTCCAAGGGGAATATCATTACAGTATATATGGATTTATTTTTCTCCTTACAACCTTCTCTATCACATCACCAAAGAAATGTATCGAATTACCAGTAACCCTGTATATACTTTCGGTAACCTCTGTATGTTTGTATACCTATCCAGGAAGAATTGAAAGCAGATGAATCAGACCCTCTGGCGACAGGAGACCCAGCAGAGGATGAGTTGATAAATTCTATTGGTCCAGAGATATCCATTATACCAGTGAAGAGGAAAAGGTCTCAGTACAAAATGGATATTTTTGAAAGAGAATATTCACCTTCATGTGATGGTACATTCGAAGTTCATGGTATAATAAGGTGAGTTCTTCAGTTTTGAATAAATTGGAGTTTAAAAAAAACCTATTCGCACATTTCCCAACAGGCCTTCAAGAGAAAAAGTTCGCCGAATATCTGTAGATGAAGCTCAAAATGCAGCAGACACCTACGCCAGAAGAAAATCGAATCCTCTAGAAAAATGTCCGGTTTGTAAAAAATATTTTCGAAGGCTGAAAACTCATCTTATTAAACATGACATGATCATGAGATCTCCAGAAGAGATTCTCTTTTGCACGCTCTGTCAGAAGAGTTTCAATTCCCAGAGCAACCTTGCCATTCATATGAGAACTCACAATGGAATGAGGCCTTACATTTGTGAAGTCTGTCAGAAAACATTTTCTCAGAGCTGCAATTTGGTGAATCACATGCGGGTGCACACAGGTAACTGGCATGCAAAACTTCGTATGTGTTTCATTATTTTCGAGACATAAGAATATCAATTAAATTAGTGAAACTTCCTACCAAAATGAGTTTATTTCGATGTTTACCGTCCCAAACCAACTAACTTAAACTTTAAAATTCTTTGGCTTCTGACACTTTCTTTTCAGGTTTTAATCGTAGACTGTGATTGTGGAAATTATCAGGAAACTTTCAATGGGGAAGTTTCTTCTGATCAATGTTTATCGAATTAGTTTTAGATTTATTATATAGCCACATATTTTTCAAGACAGAATTCGTATTAGCTCATAGTGTTAATTGAGGGAGAAAACACGGAAAGAACGGTACCAAGTTTAATATTTTTTGATGAATAGTTTCTGAAAAATATCCTTCTAAACCTACAGAAGTAATAATTTGAACTTGAAAAGAAATATTCTCAGATATATTAGGAATATGAAAAAATGGATATACAGGGTGTCCGCTAAAAGGAGGTCAATCCATTAACCATATATTCCTTGAACAAAAACAATATGAGTTTCTAAATACCATTTTTCATTTTAGCACTTCACATTCGATATACAGGGTGTCAAAGTTGAAAATTAATTAATCGCGTATTTAATGAGATATCAATCTCAAAATTGGTGAATTACTTCAGCACAAAGAGTTACATCGTGTGAGGGAAACAAAACAGAAAATAACTGTCAAATATTCACAATACGGGCGGTCAAGTACACACTCGCCCCCATATTTTTTTTGTACCTGCGCTAATGGCTTCCTTCCTATTTTTCTTCAAGGGTTCAATCATTTTTGAGTATTTTTTGTTTCTCGTAAAATGTCAATAAAATCATTTGTTTTTAAGATAATTTGAGAAGTACTGGTTATTGTTTGATGCCTATGCAGCTTATGGTAATCTGATAATGTTCACATACTCCTTTTTACTTCGTCGAAATTGAAAGAGGGCGTAATTTTTTACGTACGAAATGGTAAATATGGAAATACCGGGTGCTCAGAGCGAATGTATAAAAATAATTTTTACGAAAAAAAAATTGATAGAAATACACATGCGAGCCCTTTTAATTAAAGAAAATCTTAGCCCTTGAAAAATATGTGGCTTATGCACAAAATCTTTCATACATCCATAGACAATCCTGATCTGCTATTTAATCCATCAAATAGCTATTAAAATCATGAATATCATAATTACACCAAACATTTCCGAAAATATTTTTTTTTTAATTTTTTTCCGATTTTATTTCCCGTTCTTTCGCGCCCGACATACCATACGGTGGGAGGTGTGAAAGAGGCTCGAAAATATTTTCAAAAAATTCCGCACCACCTCAAACCGCTCAAACCGATTTTAAAAAATGTTTAAAAAATTTGCTGTTCTCGAAAAAAATCAATTTAATAATCCTTTGAAAGGGTGGGCTCGTCAATCGCCCCCCCCCCCTCCCCCCGTCCTTCTAAAATCATTATTAACCCGAAATTCCAAAAACGTTTTTTTTATTTGACCCCGTAGAAAAAATTCACGCCGTTCGATTGGCAAAAAAATTTTATTCGACACGTGTCCTCACTTTCTCACTTTTTTTCATTTTTTTTTTGTAAAAATTATTTCAATACATTCGCTCTGAGCACCTGGTATTTACATATTTACCTTGTCGTACGTAAAAAATACGCCCTCTTCCAATTTCGGCGAAATAAATAGGAGTATGTGAACATTATGAGATTACCGTAAGCCGCATAGGCATCAAACAATAACCAGTACTTTTCGAATTATCTTAAAAACAAATAATTTTATCGAAATTTCACAAGAAACAAAAAATACTCAAAAATGATTGGACACTTTGAGAAAAATAGAAAGGAAGTCATTAGCGTACGTACAAAAAAAATATGGGGGTAAATGTGTACCTGACCTCCAGTATTTTGAATATTTGATAGTTATTTTCTGTTTTGTTTTCCTCATACGATGTAACTCTTTGTGCTGAAGTAATTCACCAATTTTGAGATTGATATCTCATTAAATACGCGAGTAATTAGAAAAAAACAGTTTTTAATTTCCAAGTTTGACATTCTGTCAATATCGAATATGAAGGGCTAAAATAAAAAGTGGTATTTAGAAACTCATATTGTTTTTGTTCAAGGAATATATGGTTGATGGATTGACCTTTTAGCGGACACCCTGTATATACAAGGTGGGCCAAAAGAAGTCATCCGATGTTGTCTGGCTCTCATTTTTTTTTTAATGAAAAGCTTCGATTCTGTTTTTTGATTATGTTTATTTTAACCTTTAAAATTTTATTGGTCAAGTCGAGAAGATGATATCGGCCAAATGGGCGCCGCCACAATTGTTTGCTATGGGGGCTCGTTTTATGCATTTTTCATCACTTTGGCGAGAACTTCGGGCGACAGATTGTCGCACTCGTGTCGAATGTTGTCCTTGAGGGCTTCCAGGGTCTCGGGCTTGTTTACGTACACACGGAACTTGCGGGACAGTGCAAATCGCCAAAACGAGAGATGATGCGATCCGGGAACGCCGCCTTCAGAATTTCGGTTGTGGCTCGCAGTGTGTGCCGTTGCTCCGCCCTGTTGGAACCACATGCCCTCCAGTCCCAATTCGTTCAATTCCGTTAGAAAAAACTCGGTTAACATGGCCCTGTAGAGCGCACCGTTCACTGTTGTCGTGTGACCAGCGGCGCCGTCGAAAAAAATAGCCCGATGACTCCTCCAGAGTGAACAGCGCACCATGCAGTCACTTTGAGCGGGTGTAATGACTCCTCGTGCATCACTCGTAGATTTTCGGTGCCCCAGAAGCGATAGTTCTGCTTGTCCGAGTACCCGCTGAGGTGAAAATGAGCCTCATCGCTCATTATGATTTTGGTAAAAAAATCGTCCACTTCGTCCACGAGATTTAGGATGGCTTGACTTGGATTATTCCGCGTTCTTGGGGAGTGTATCGCTCCATGGCTTGTTCACTTGTTTTCTAAAATAAGAGCTACTTCCAATAGGGTGATTTCTTTTTCTTTCGTATTTCTATATACAGGATGATGCAAATGTATGGAATAAATTCATTTCAAAAAAAGACGACTTCCGAAAAAAATCCAAAAAGTAGAGTTCAGAACTTTTTTATTGATGTATTTTTTCAACTAGACGACCCTTCGATGTTCAATTCTCAGTAGAAGATCTCTGCAAGATTCAGTTTACCAAATGATAATCCATTTTAATTTCAATCTTCTTTTGCAAAATTTTGACCATTGGATAGACGATCAGTAGACCTTTCAAACGAGGTGTCACATGACCCCTGTTTGTATTTAAAAAAACCGTCCATTGCGTCATTACTCCAACACCGGTGACGTAACATCTCTCATATGAATGTCATGAGATGAGGTTTCAAAAATTAAAACTCACGTGTTTTTGGAATTTCTTCAAATGTCGCCCATTTCTGAAATAATGAATTTATTCCATACATTTGCATCATACTGTATATATAAAAGGTGGGCCTTTCATATATATATATATATAGAAATACGTTGAGAATTCGTATTTCTTTATATATATATCCATTCGTTTGTGAAGTGTTTACATTACGAATATCAATTTGCCATACATCCAAACATAATTAGAACTTGCCTGCACTGAGATGCATGATTTTCAGGTTAGTAGTTGAACAAAAATTATTATTTTTATCCAAAAAATCTTCTTGGATTGTCAATTTGGCAACGGTTCCACAGAGGTCCTTAGAATGTGGTCTTTTCCGCAGAAGAAATAAGCAAAATGAATCACTATTTTTGTCCACTATTATTTATTTGGTGAAGTCTTGCTATTAGAAACTGGCCCACCCTCTATAGATCGCGTTAAATGTATCAGAATAGAAAATAATAGAATTTATTGATCTCATAATATCAAATAATGACAATAGGTCGAAAAGAACAAATTAAAATTGAAAAGTCTAGCTGAAACTACATAGAGCATTTACCTTAAAATACTAAAATTGCCCAGTAATATAGGTCAATAAACACAATATACAATCACATAATACAAAACTAGAACAGATAATTCAACGATTATTTTCAAAATATTCTTCAACCAAGTATGGACTCATGTCAATGAGATAATTGCTAGTTTTCTCTTTAAATTTATGCACCAAGGCAATACTTTAACACATTGTGGAAGACTGTTGTATAGTTTAATTCCCATTACTCTAGGTGATTTCTCACAGATTTCTATTCGCTTGGAAGGTATAGAGAAGTCTGATTTATATCTTGAGTCATGAGCATGAATATCACTATTTCGTAAATAATCGTTTTTATTTCTATGAACTGATGTGATTAAATCCAATATATAAATGCCATAAATAGTTAAAATTCTCAAGTTGATAAAAACAGGTCGACAGGAATCTACAAATGAGATGTTTAAAATATATCTTAAGATTCTGTTATGTGACATAAAAACACTTTCAGCATGAGGAGAGCTCCCCCAAATATCAATCCCATAACTGATCCTAGACTGTATTTCACTAAAGTAAAGTGAACGAATGTGATTTATATTGAGTGTTTTTCTTGAATTTCTAATTTGAAAACATTTGGAGTTCAACATCTTGGATAGATTTAAACAGTGTGCTATAAAGGACAAATCTTAATCAAATAATACACCCAAAAATTTCACATTTTCTCTTCTTGTTATGTTTGAGTTGTTAACCAATATATCAAAGTTAGGGATACAAGTTTTTTGGCGAGGATGAAATGATATAAAATTCGTTTTAGTTGTATTAAACAACAAGGATTGATCACTAGACCAGGCAGAAGATTTCAACAAAGCATTCATAATTTTGGCCATTAAAATGTTTGAGTTTTTTTCACTAAACAAAAATTTTGAATCATCTGCATAAAGAGTGGTAAAAGACTCTGGTACAACAGAAGGTAAATCATTTATGTAAAGGATAAATAACAGGGGCCCAAGAATGGATCCCTGTGGAACTCCTAGTGTATTTACCATAAGATCAGACATATATGTATTTCTTTTATCGGTAATCTTGACAGATTGTAACCTGTTATCTAGGTACAAAGATAACCACTCATACGCTTTGCCCCTCATACCGTATTTTTAAAGATTGTCTTTCAAAATATTGTGTTGAACACAGTCAAAAGCCCGACTGCGATCACAAAATATCCCAATCGGGCTTTCGCCCTGGTTGACCAAATTCATAACTTCAGTATAGAACGATTCCAAAGCTGTTGAAGTTGAAAATGTTGCTCGAAAACCATGTTGATGATCAGTTATTACTTTATGAATTTCTAAAAATTTCAACATCTGCTTCAGCATGGCATACTCAAATATTGGAAGCTATTCAGACTATTTCTTGTTTTCAGGTGAGAAACCATTCAAATGTCCGCATTGTGATAGAGCGTTCACCCAATCAGGCAATCTCAACAACCACATTCGACTCCACACAGATGAGAAGCCTTTCAAATGCCATTTTTGTTCCAAAGCATTTGTGCAATCCGGGAATTTGAGTTCTCATATAAGGAACAATCACAAATTTGAAACCAATACTTTCAATACAATTGCTCTCACACAGTTTGTTTGAAGTCTAACACGCCTTGAATTTGGATCTTTGGTTATATTCACTAGTGTTGTTCAGCAGAAAGTTCACCATGGAAAATGAAATCGAAGATTTGACAGTTCGACTGATAAATGTCATAAAAAAAAATGATATTTTGCTGCTAGTTCATGTCACTAGTCAATTTTTTTTTTATCTAATCATGACAAGAAATGGAATTATCATATTCCAATGAAAAGAAATGCTGCATACCAATTTCCGCTGCAAGTGGAGGAATTTTTTTTATGTTCTGGTTCCCAGGAAAAGGGATATCCTCTAATGTTCAAATAGACATTGATTGAATTTTGGAGACGGCTATGAACAAAAATTATTGATAAAAACAGATAATCTTGTCACAGAGCATTAGTAACCACCATTATCAATACGAATGATGTTTTAACCTCATCAAGATCAGAGTTCACAAGTATACTTCTCCTATACATTTCAATTTTCATTTCAAAACTGAACATATTGGTAAGTTATATTTTTATATCATAATACCTCATATTATTCTATTCGATTTGAGAGATAATGTCAATTTTCAATTTCAGAGGATTTTGATATTTCATGCTCTTTTTGGATATTCAACCGATATAATTCAATGTTCGACGTGGCAAATAGCCAGAAATATTCAGAACGATATTATATACATATCTTTATATGAAGGAGAATGCAAATTCTCTATTCCAGAAGATTTTGTTTTCAAATTCTTATCGTGTGTGTTCAATAGATGTAATTCAATATTCGTCGTGGCATATAGCCAGGAAAGTAGTTGTTTTCTGTTGATTAAACCGAGAAAGAATTAATATTTTCATAAGAATAATAATAATTGCCGTATTCATATGATTTCCTGGAAATTATTGAAAAACTCCAACAATGTTTGTGTTATGTATGCAATTTCATGCAGCGATTGAGTGGTTATTCCAATATATTTGAAAGCAGATCAAGATATGAGGTTAGTTCAAACGTAAATCTCAGTGGAGTGTCATAAATCTGCCCATTATGAACAGAACAACAAAATAATCCGATTCATATAAATCTCCAGATTATTTCTGATGGAACAACCGGCCCTAAGGTGGTAATTCACATATCAGTTTAAAACATTTTTGAGATCGATTAGTCGATAAAAATAAATTCAGATTCAACAGCTAATGAAGATTATCTCCTTCATTATCTATTTGAAGACTGAAAACGATCTTGATCTTCTAGATATCTGGGTATTATGTTTCATGTATAAAAGATCTCTGTGAAATTTCAGTTAGGGGTGTTTCTTATCATTATTTAAATGTTGGGTGAATGTACCGGTTCTCTGCCACTTGATAGAAATTCAAAGTTTATTGAATCACAAAAAATATCTAAAGTAGATATATAAATATTTGTTCATTACTTTGTTATTCTTCCCAATACCTAAATAGGGTGACTGCGCCGGTTTTCGACCAGATTTCATTACTTTCACTATCAACTGTGTGCAAGTCTAAGATATAATATTGGTTTGCTTTATAACCCTAACAGATTGAACTTTCAGTACCCATAGAAACGGAGAAAAATATGGAAAGGGAAGTTTGTCTTGCTGAAAATTAAAATAAAAACAAATTCTAAAAAATGTGCTTTTTACCAGTTTTCGACCGCCCAAAACTTAATGTCGACCATCATTTGCCACTCGGGCAATGAACCGCCTGCTTTTGACCATTAAACACTTGCACCACCGCAATATTCCTTATGCAACTGAAAAGTTGAAATGCTGAAACACTTAGCAAAAGTACTAATTGAAACGAAAAAAAATCTATGTATTTTGTAAAATGAAATCTTATTTCTTCAGTCTCACAATTGACATATAATATTAACTGATGACTTAAAAACTCTAAATAGAGGTAACTAGGTACTTCTAAGAACATACAAAACAACTGTATTCTTTTTCAGCTGCTGCTTCTCCTAACTTCATTCCAATAATGCAGAACAACGTTAATGAAACCACTTATCGCAGCTGTCACATCCAATGTTTTTGTTGTCTACATCATCGGTATCGCTGTGTAGTTCTACACATGTTGCACAAATGATTGTCTGTTTCAATACTGACTTTGCTGACGCTTATCGTGATTTTTTGTTGATAACTACACTTTTTTTCTTGTGGTTCTTCAGGGCACTCCTTTCTTTTCACACCCTCTACTTTTTGTGTCTTTTCTTCATTTTGTTTTTGAAGATTTCGCCTGACTTGTGAATTTATGGCCTTTGGGGCAATTTCTCGTTTTTTATTTCTAATATTTATTTCAGACAAGGAATATACTGATTTTTTGCAGACTTGTTTTCCCGTTCCTTTTAAAATTTCTAGCCCTGTTATCTCTGAGGTTACACTTTTTTAATGGTTTGTTCATCGTCTTTGTTTAGTTTTTCTATGGTAATACATTCCTTGCTTATTGTTTTGTTTACTGTATCATAAAATGTAACTTTTTCTTCCTGACATTACTATCTTGCTGACTCTCTTATTTTGATTCTCTTTATCTATTATATCAACTGTTCCTTCGTTTTCCTGACTTCTACCATCTTGCTAGTTGCCTGCTCGTTTATATTTCCTTCACCCATATCATCAGCTGTCTCTTCTTTTTCTTGACTTGCTAGTCTTGCTACTATCTTGTTCACTTTTTTGTTCTTCTCTTCTATTTCTCGACTTGTTACTATCAGGATCGCTTGCTTGTTTTGATCCCATTTTCTGACCGTATTCTTCCATTCCGTTTTGAGGGGTTTAAAGACACTCATATCTGCTGGCTGCAGAATGTGAGTGGTATTGGGTGGAAGAGCATATAATATGATTTCGTTCTGGTCACAAAATTCTCTAAGATTCATCGGCATGTGCGATTTATGTCCGTCTATCAATAGTAAGATAGACCGTTTCAACTCATTTTGGGTAACCCACTCGTTGAAGTCGTTTGCTACTCAAAAAATACATCGTCCTTCATCCAACCGGAGTCTGATCTCCCTAAAACCCATATTGGGGAGACATAGTGTTCACTAATGCTTTCGAAAGGCGCACATATAGAAATAACACCAACGGCGGACAAATCTTGCCGCTGGCCGTGAAAACCATTAAAACGGTTATAATTTCCTTTTCATTACCCATTTTAACGCAGTAAAGATTTTTACAACCTCTGGGTGCCAGGTCTTTCCCAGTTTTGGGACAAAGAGCAAATACCGCCTCATCTCCATTTAACATTCAATCTGGTTCATCTAAGATATCTTCGTTGTTAGCATCTTTCAAATATTGCCTCAAGTCACGAAACCGCGACCTTATAACTTCTTCGGTTACAATGGCTCGCGCCTTGTTTACACTCTCAGCCTCCCGAACGGAAATTTGTGGATGTCTTCTTAAAAAGTTCAGGTACCACTTTTGGCCTGGTTTCCCGTTTTTGAACAAATTTTCTTTATCTGTATTTTTCACTATGCCTTCTACAGTTTCCAATGAGTCTGTTTTCTCAACAGGGAAACCAGGGGCGGCGAGTTTTGTTTTGCCCAATGGGTGCCAAAATGGAGGGGTTAGGGCAAGCCAACAAAAAATGCGCCGCAGGCGAAAATTTTTTATGGCTCAAGGTCAAATGCCTTCAAATTTGAAGATAGCTTGATGCAATATTGATTCTGCATTACGTGTGAAACACCCCTACTAGAATATAATGTTTTTTGACTAATCGGGTTTCGGGTCTGTTTTTAATATCAACATAAACAGAGGTACATCTTCGTTTCGGCCAATGGGTGCATTGCACCCATACCTATGGTCTACATGGGTGCATTGGCCCCGATGCCCCCATGCACTCGCCGCCCCTGAGGGAAACCACACTTTGGCTAAATTAATAACCCAGTTGGATAATTTCTCTTCACCATCAATCGATAAAATGGGTTGAGGACCTGTTTTTCCAGCAAACTTAGGAATTTTTCCAGATTTGTATTCTTGTAAGGTGGTTTTAGGAATACCAAACTCCCTGCCTGCCATTCTTACAGAAAGGGACCTTCATGATTTCCTTTCAAGGCACATTGAAGATTTTCACTAGCATATTGGAAATGTTCTCGCTTTTTTTCTTCTCACTACTCTTTTACAGTAGGGCCTCTCTTTTTTGAAGACTTCTTTGCATTTTGTACTGACGACGGCATCTGTAAAATCCATAAATACCTAAGATATTCCTAGTGGTCGAAATATAATTGATTTTTCGTACGCGTACATTTTCACATTTTAAAGTCCGGTCGAGAAGTAAATAGGTGATTCCAATTTTTCGACTGCCTAACCAAATTATTCATAATTCTCGTTAAAAAAGTGTAGGAAAACCGGATACTTGATAGCGGTAATATATTTGAGTAGTACATTTCACTGAGATAGTTAAATATAACGTCATGTATAGCTAGAAAAAGACCGAAACTAAATAGCTAATTCACCCCCTTTTGGACCTCCACGATCGAAAACCGGCAGATATTTAATTTGGACATCCGGTTAAGCGACCACCTAACCTAAATCATTAAAAATTATATTTTACCAATATTTTGGTGTTCAGAGATTAGATAAAGGTATAAATATGCCTCAAATACAAAAATAGATAGTCAGTATTTAATAATTTCACAGTTACTTACTATTTTCTTTGGGGCACTTCACTATATTCACTACACAATTTCTCACATTTCACAAGCAGGTTAATACCCGACCATATATTTTAAATTCTAGTTCAGTTGCACCAGAAGGTGTTCCCACCATTGGCATGTCAAGAAGGAAGGTCAGTTAACGCAGTTGTCGTCCACCAAGGCCTTTTCTCGGCCATTAATCTTATGTCCCTTATCAATAAGATCGACATTCTGACAATGAACAACTCACTACTTCAGAAATGTATTACAAAAAACGAAATATGTCATACAAAAAACAAAATGATATTAACAAAAATATAAAAATAAATACGTCAACAAAAAAAATTGTCCTTGAAAATGAAATCATCACATAAAATAAGGTACGTATATGC